AAGAAAATACGTTAATGTCATTCATCTTTTTTTATTTATTCTCGTTTCTCGCAAATAATATATTCTTTATGTAAGCCTGAAACTGTCTTAACGCGTTCATGTGTTAGTTCATAAGGAAATACGGCATCATAAGGTAAAACTCGCGTAATATTATTTTTAGCCTTGTGAAATTTTATAGCTGCTTTCAAATTTATTAGCACATAACATTCGACCTTCGGGATTCTCGCAAATGCGACGAACTATCAGTATCATTAACGAATTAGAGTAATGCAAATTATTCCGTAGCGGGAGAGCGTTTTTATTACGATGCAAAATTTCTTCTGTGTCATAATTTGAAAAGATAAATTTAAGAAAAGTTGTTAACGAAATACTTTGCCGGAAACTACCTCTCATTTTTGCACACACATGAGAGGATGCAAATCCATGCAGCGGAGTAGCGTAACGCGGAACGAGAGCGGAACCAATCGCAAGCATTCTGCAGTTTTTGTTACGCTCGCAATTGGTTTCCTTCTCGTTCCGCGTTACGCTAATCCGCTGCATGGGTTCGCACCCTCAGCGTCCCTGGGGTATAGCCGATGGACGCAGGTTGCCCTATAAAAATAGAGAGCCATCCTTTTCTCACTAACCGAGGTATAGTAAGAGAAAGATCGTCGTTAAGACGTAACATTATACTATCAAAAATGGAGGCTTTCAAGAGTCTAAAAGGCTCTGAGAACATAGCAACGTAACAGTAAGTCGTAGACGTAAGTCGTAGATGTAAGCAACGCACAAGCTTTGGCATATGTCGTAAATTTGACGTGCTACATAATTGAAAATAAATATATACTGTGACGTGACGTTTTTGGGACGTCCGTCACAAGGGCCGAATGGCCCGATCGGGGGCGGTTTTTCGGGGGTCTGTGTCCTCCTAATTTAGGGAGAGAGCGGCCCGATCGTCAGATCGGCGAAGTCTGACTTTCGTTTATATAGCAATCGAAAATGTAAGCTCGATATGAGCCCGCGAGTTGGTTGTCGGCACATGGTTGAGCGGCAAGATCCCATCCGGCGGAAAGGGGAAGGAAGAGAGAAGAGCGACAGTCGAGAGCGGGAGTCCGGGACACCCAGGAAGCAGGAGACGTCAGGTCGTAGTTTTCTAATGTTAAAAACATTTTTGGTTGCTAGTACACCTCGCTGCCGGTAATTTTATATCTTTTACGGCAGGAACAGAGATGCGAAGGGCCGGAAGGAACCGGCCGAAGGGGCGGCCACTCCACCCGCACGAAGCGAGGGAGTCCCAGAGACGGAGCGACGAGAGTACTCTCATCCATGGACCTATTCTACGAGATAGGAACGAGAACCGATCGGACGCTACCGGAAATCCCCATCTCTCAGCCGAACAACCGCAGATTTTGGAAATTCCGGGGCGAGGAGTCCACCAATACGGCCGTGACGATAACAAGGACCGCAAGGACCGCAGGATGGCCCTGCGTAACGCGAAAGCGCCACAGGTGGCACGATAGCTATTTATCGCGCCGGCGTGTCTCCTGCAGGACTCTCGCTCGGCACTGTTCGGCGAGTTTTCCGGTAGGACGCAGGTCTCAGGACATAAGCGAGCGATACAGAATCCGAAAGAACTGCGAAGTATTCCGACCGGTGGGACGAGCGTCGTCAACCCAATTTTGTTGCCGATTAATTGTAGGTAATTAATTCGGATGAGTCGCGCCCTTAATAGTTGTCGAGCCACGCGTATTATGAATTAACTTTGTGGAATTTCTGGTATATTACGTCGCACGGCCGACGGGCACTCGGCACTCATCCGAATTACATAAAATAAGCTCTCTCTAATTCATTTCGCCGCCGCTGACAGTCATTAATGTTAGTTTCGCGTTTATAATCATTGTATGCTGTAAATTATCGGGATTTTCACGCCCGCGCGATCGATATTCGGGATCGCGCAAAGTACTGCGTCACGCGACTCGTACACCACAGTCATTCTCAGTAGTTTTTGTCTTCTTTTTGCGTATGGTTAGCCACCATCTTGTACACGTTATATGTAATTAGAGTGAAGAGAAAGCGTAATTCTCAAATATCGGGAAGAGTATTTATCGAGTGTCTTGAAGCCCGCTATTAGTTCCCGCGAGTCCTTCGATTTATATCTTGCGTATTTCGACGCCAAGGTCGTCGCTATTGTTATCGAGGCAAATATCGGCTCACCGCGAGCCTGACTAAAGGACCGATTCGAGTCATACGATCTAGAATTTTCTATTGTATTGAAGCGGATTCACGGACGTGCGTAAAGTAGTTCCTGGCGCATTCAAGGGATTTCTTTAGTTGTCGCGGCCTAAATAAGTCTCGTACGGCGGAAATCCTCGCGGCCGAAAAGTCGAGTTTAAAGCACGTAAGACGCCCGGTAATTTGATACTGTTGCGCACGGTCGTGTCGATCTCCGCGGAAATAATATATCTAATTCGCCTGTAAAATAACTACTGTCATCAAAGGCTATTATTTATGTGAACTGCTCTATAAAATTTATTTTAAATTTAAATTTAATTTAGTTAGATTTTATTAAATTCAAAAATAACTAAACATAATTACATTTTAAACTAAAATTAAGATTCAAGATAAAGGCAATCAGAGCCAAGCGCGGTACGTGGAGCGCAACGTATGTTTTATTCTATCAATCTCTATCATAAAATATACAAAAACCATCTTCAGCGCAAAACAATTAAAAATAGTTTATGACATAACGGTTGTGTTCCTAATTGGTTAGTAAACATGGTCGCAAAAATTAATAAATAAAGGTTAACGGTTCGTAAAGTAGTTACCGGCGCATTCGAGGAATTTCTTTAGTTGTCGCGGCCTAAATAAGTCTCGTACGGCGGAAATCGTCGCGGCCGAAAAGTCGAGTTTAAAGCACGTAAGACGTCCGGTAATTAGATATTGTTGCGCACGGTCGTGTCTATCTCCGAGGAAATAATATAATATCTCAATCGCTTATAAAATAACTACTGTCCTCCAAGATTATTACTTATGCGAACTGCGTTATACTTTTGTTTCTTTTAATATATTATTGTTATCTTTATTTTAACTTATCGAATGCTCATTTTTGCTCCCGTGTTCTCGACTCTCAAGGTCTCTTCCGTTTCTTCCGGACCACCCCCTCTACCATTTCGGGTATACTGAGTAGCCGCAGAATTTTGCCGTCGCGTTAATTATCGATCTCGCAATTGTCTTTCGGTGTTGCTATTATTGTGAATGGTGCAGCCTGCCGTACCTGGCGCCCTACTCGGTTTATTTTGTGATAAGTGGGAATTTTCTGGATCGAGGGATCGATAGTCGAAATTCGGGCCGAAGGTGTGCCGTGGGCACCGAAGAACCGCCCGCCGGATAATCAAATAATTATTAATTAAATAATTTACAAGAAATAACGGTTATATACATAATAATTAAATACATAATAACCTAATTGTTTCTAAACAACGTACAAGTTTTGGCATATATTATATATAATATTATTTTATATTTTATTTTATATTATATTTTTTAACCACGGACTTATATATAAGGACAGAGCACATGAAGCTTATAGCTGACTACGTAATGTCGCCGCCCACTACGTGGCGCTAGTAGGATACCTTGGCTAACTTACTTCAACTTAACCTAATATACGCAAACATTAATGTACGCATCGTCAAAATACTTTAAAATCACATATCAAAATAAAATACATTCTTTTTCTTTTCGATTCAAATAATATTGCATACCTATAAAGTATAATATGCAGCGTCTATAATTTAATGTACGTCGTATTTTCATGTTTCATGAGAATATGCAGATAAATTAACCCGTTCCTTTCTAGCACGATGTAACAAATTTTCAAAACAGTTTATTTGTGAATCATTGGTTTATAAAATTCATTGAATACTCACAAAGTTGAAAACCCAGCGCTAGCGAGAAAGATAGTAAAGGAATTAGCCGATATTATTGCAATTAACATTTATTTTAACATGTTGTATAAACAATTTACATTTCTTCCTCTTACGACGTACAGAATTTTGAAACTTTTTTTTTTGTTGATTCACCTTCTTCTTTTCCTGATTTGTTTTCAAAGAAAACTGTCGCATGCGCATGAAAATATAATACTGTATTGTGTGAGGAACGATGTCATGCATATGATCTTAGCAGGGGAACGTTAATGAATTTTGTTTCAAAACATCTTCTAACACAAGCTCTAAAACTGTAATGGATAAACATTCTCAATGTCTACCATGAAAATATGGGCCACAATATATGTATGAGAATATTCTTTATTTACCACACCGAGCACAATTCCGTCGGGTCCTAAGTTTTCGTTCTCGAAGAATATCGTCTTTTTTAAAATGATATTCACAAAGTCCTTGCGTGCATTTGAGCACCAAATCTGGACGTTTAATTGCGATTTGTCAGGCCTTTTGTCTTTCTTCATCCTTCGGAACAGTAAAAAAGTGGACCTTTTCATGATTGCTGCTATAACCTGACGTACACCCTGGCACGATGCAACGCATATTTTTCAGGTTTGATCCACAGTTACTTTTATCAAGAAAATATAAAATCACTCAATATTCGTACAATTGTTCCACAATATTAATCACTATAATAGTTTATTTCACAAACACAAACGATTTGTTCAGAAAAATACTTCACTCTCAAATACAAATAATTGAAACGCGGATTCTGAATTCTGAAGTTGAAGCGGACAAGGTATCCTACTAGTGCCACGAGTGGCCGGCGACATTATTTTGCCACCGTTCAGTTTAGGTGGTATAGGAGAGTGTCAGAGGGCTGTTTTTAACAATAATGACATTTTATTGGGTTATGTACATACCCTGCCACGCCTGAAGCGTACTAAATTTGATTTGACTATTTTCAATCGGTTTTAATACCGCATTTTCGGTGCAGAAATCCCAATCGATCCGGATTACATTTTTTTAAATCCGTTTTAATCGACCATTTTCGGCAGGGTACTTAAGCGGGGAGCACACACTTTTCCATAACGCATAACGCATAATGCATAAGGAAATGAGCCAATCAGAATCTTTAATTTTGATCCCCACTCCTCGTTCCGAGGAGCTTGCATTGTACATAAAGCATAATGCATAAGGGGTCGAAAAATACGTAAGAACGAATTTTTATGGTTATGGGTTGTGCGAAGAGAAGTGCTTGCTGCGTACTACATACTACATACGACGAACTACTAGACAGTTTCTAACCTTTCTAACCTTTTCGGAATATTCTCTGAAGGTATGTTTAGATGTTCTTTATTAATATTAGATAAAATTCTTTGACTATCATAAAATTATTTCTTTTTCTGTTATTAAATCATATATCTGTATTTAATATTGATAGGAAAATGGATTATGATTCATATTATTATGCTTCATCATATCAAAACGAGGACGAAGATTTCGATGATGGTGAGAATAAAAATGAAATGAGCGGCGATGCTTTGCTGATCTCTTTAGTACGTGATTATCCTTATTTATACAATAAGGAATTGACTGATTTCAAAGATAGCATTAAAAAACAGAATGCTTGGGTAGAAATAGCTAATGTCATGGGCATGACAGGTACGTACATAATGCTTTTCTACATTTGCATTATACATTCAGTTATTATTTGAACTCATTTTCAGTAAAAAAATTACTAATAATAAAATTGTGCTAATTGAAATGAGTTCATTGTTAAATTAATATTATGTTAATAACCAGAAAATTCGATTAATTTTATTTGAGTTGCTTTCCAGCAAGAGTAGGTAATATAAAGTGACATTATAGGCCTGTTTTTTTTAGCTAAACTTTTTGCAGTTCTCCTTTCCTTTTTCTCTTTTCACATTGAAAAGAAAAAGAGAAAGGATGAACCGTGTAAGAAGTTCAACTAAAAAGAACAGGTCTAATATTTGAAACAGTGCTTTCCTACAACAATATAACATGACACAAGTATACTTAGCTTTTCAGAGCTGTGTATATTTGTGTCATTGTTAGGCCGGTATTCATAGTCAGTTCTTATTTCAAGACCGTCTTATGCTCGTATCAGACTACGCATTGAAAATTGAAGATTGAAGATTAAAGATTGGAATTTTACTAATCAGAACAAAAGGGACTAAAATTTCTTTGTCCTGATTGGTCAAATTTCAATCTTCAATCTTCAATCTCAATCTTCAATGTGTAGTCTGATATAGGCTTTAAGTAATGTCTTAAGATGCTAATACGGCTCTGTGATTGGTTTAGGACATCTTAAGATTGTGCTTAAGACGGTCTTAAATATAAGAACTGACTATGAATACCGGCCTTAGAAAGCAACTGTATCAAACATTGTGTGTCTCTGTCTATGTCGTTTGTGTCTCTTACTGAAAAGCAACCTTAGTGGTACATTCAATTAAACGTTGATAAAATTAGATTTCTTACAAATAAGTAGTTTAATTCATCATAATGAATAAACTTGCGATTGATTGTTATTTCATTAGATACTTTCGAATAATTAAAACCTATAAATAAATATCTTTTATTATTATAAATTATGTATGTTTTAAGCTAATGTTATTTTTATTGCAAGTGGAAGAGTGTCAATCTAGATGGATGCAACTGAGGGAGCGCTATTCACGCGAAAAAAAACAACAACAACAAGAAACAACCACAGGAAGTGGAGCATCAAAAAGAAAAACGTTTGAATTTTTCGACAATATGCAATTCCTGGAACGATTTGTTAAAAGGAGAAGGTTAATATATTACGATTAATATGTAATTATCTATAATATAGAATATAATATAGAAATTAGAATGGCTAATAAAGGGCATTTCCGCTTTCAGAAAAATAAAAGTATTTTATGAAATTGATAGAACAGAAACAAATAATTGATATTCTAAGATATATTTTATTAATATAGTATTAGGTTGTTCGGAAAATTCGTTTCAAGTTCTCGAACTTTAAACAAACTTTTCGAACAACCTAATAATTTACAGGATATTCGCAAGTATATTTTTATTCATTTTTTATATTACATCTTTAAAAATATTTATTTCTTTCTCTTCCAGAACGATGACCAACATACACAACATACAAAACAAAAGCGTATCTCCGGTGACAGGATCTTCTAATCTACAAAAGTATGTAACACGTAAATTAATTATCAATTTTCATATAAAGTAGGAATCTTATATTTGTACAGTAATAAAACCTTAGTTTTTTTTGTTTCAGAAATGTTGGCTTACATGACGAAAAAGAGAATAATTCAACTTCTATAAACGTGACTACTTTAAGAGTAAACAACCATCAACAAAAAACATCGTAGATTTAACAAGTGACACCGCGCAGCATGTAGGGTAAGTAAAAGTTGTCATGTTTTTTAAATTCATGTATACATACAGAGGCGTACATAGAATAATGACATGTTAAAATTTCTTTGTTTTTAGTAATGACTCCTTAACTCCGGGTTTGCACTCAAATGTATCTGACAGCTCTTCCATATCTGCAATAAGTGTCTCTGGCTATACGCGGGACAAAGGTTTAATTGGACAACGGATAAAGTCAAAAGAAAAATCCCAGTCGGATGTTCTAGAAAATGCCATTGGTAAAGTTACCTGTTTATTAGAGAACAGATGTGTTCCAGTTTCTTCATCGTCATGATCTCTAAAGCCGGAAATAGAAGAAAATACGGCGTTTTGTCAATTAATACTTTCATTATTTGTCAATATGTCTGAATATACAAAGACAGACAAAAAGAAAACAATGTAGCGTATTTTATTTGATATGTAATTGTTATATCTTATATGACATTCTACGTTTATTTTTTTTATATGACATGTAATTATTAGTGATACATGTTAAGTTATTTTTTTATGCAATATGTGACAATTAATGATACGATATATTGTTCTTATTTTTTATTTTTATATAACATGCAATTATTAGTGATAAAATAGATTAATTTTTAATGCAACATATATGATAATTAGTGGTACATGTTATGTTTATTTCTTTTATGCAATATGTGATAATTAATGATACGGTTTTTTTTTTATTTTTATATAACATGCAATTATTAGTGATAAAATAGATTAATTTTTAATGCAACATACATGATAATTAGTGGTACATCCTTGCCGAAAATGGTCGATTAAAACCGATTAAAACATAATCCGTTTTAATCGGTTTTAATCAGTCCAATTCAATTGCATTAAAACAAGTTTTAATTATAACTTTATGAAATCGTATAATTTCGGATTGAGGTGGATGTATATCACTCAACATTAACCCGCCTGAAGCGTACTAAATTCGATTTGACTATTTTCAATCGGTTTTAATACCGCATTTTCGGTGCAGAAATCCCGATCGATCCGGATTACATTTTTTTAAATCGGTTTTAATCAACCATTTTCGGCAGGGATGTTATGTTTACTTCTTTTATGCAATATGTGATAATTAATGATACGGTTTTTTTTATTTTTATATAACATGCAATTATTACTGATAAAATAGATTAATTTTAAATGTAACACATGTGATAATTAGTGGTACAATATGTTATGTTTATTTCTTTTATGCAATATGTAACGAGTGACACAAAATGTTATATTTATCTTTTTTATGCGATGTAATAAATCGTTTTATTATAGAATAAGCATATGTGTTTACATAATTATATAATTTTACTTTTCAATAGCATATTATGGATCATCACGATGTTGTCTTCTTCTCACATAATCATACTGCCACGAAACTTCACCGAGTGGTGTTAGAAAATAATCAGCCAGTTTGTCTCGTTGTTTGTATGCAATTGTAGTTGCATGATGCTTTGAAGTGGGAGGTATATCTCTCAGTACGTTTTCAGTATATCGTCGCCATTCCCCGGGGATGTTGTTACCTTCAGAATCCTCTGAATCTACAAAATGTAGAGGACAGTATATTCTGTTCTTCGCTTCCACAAGATCTTCTTCGGATTTTATGAAGTTATGCAGACATACAGTCGCCATGACAATCATGTCTATATATTTTGGATGTATATTAATGGGCTTTCGATAGATTCTCCACCGTGAAGATAAAATGCCGAAGGTATTTTCTATAGTACGCCTTGCTCTAGATAATCTGAAAAATCAATGAAGTGCGTTATAAGATTAAGATATATTTTAATAATACAACATTGTAATAAAAATAATAATTGCGCAAATTGCTTACCTGTAATTAAATATTTTTTTTTTCATCAAATATTTTTCCGGAGTAAGGTCGCATCATCAAAGTACTGATCGGGAAACCACTGTCTCCAAGAAAAAAACAAGGCAATGTAATGTTGCTTCCGGGAAAATTTGCAGTCCCTTTGGGAAGATTTAGTATTTCACTTTCCAATGCCAAATAAATGTCAGAAGAGGTAAAAATATCACCATCACTATTGCCACCATATGAGCCTATGTCAACTAGTGTGAACATATATTTATGATCACATGCGGCCATTAGCACAATGCTAAATGTCTTTTTATAATTAAAGAATAAGCACCCGGAATTTGGCGGAGCTTGTATTTCTACATGTTTTCCGTCAAAAGACCCAGCGCAATTGGGGAAATTCCAGCTTTCCAGAAAACCAGTACAAATATTTTTCCATTCTTCTTCTGTTGGCAAACGAAGGTAAATCGGCTGCAATATCTGAGCTAGAACTTGACAAGTTTCTTGGATAATTTTTCGAACAGTTGACTCTCCACATCTAAACGCTAATGCAATAGATAATATTTGATCTCCGGTTGCTAAAAACCTGCACAATATAATTGATAGAAATATTGATAAGAAAAAATAATGGCATAAAACATTTTTAAAAATAATATTGTCTTACACATATGTTTCATTCTTCAATTAAATAGTTCATAACAAAATAAGTAACTACCTTAGAGTTATGATCAATCGCTGCTCTGGACTAAATGCTCGATGGTTTGATTTGGTCAAAAAAGGTCTTGTCAGTTGTAGCAGAAGCCTAAAAGTTTCCTCTCTCATCCTTGTATATCGAAAAAATATACTTGGATCATTGTACTTCATCTCTTGAAAGAGGTGTTCATAATCCCCATATATGGGACGTACCCCAGATAGCAAAATGCTAGCAGCATGCGCGCAGATTGGCAGCAAATTTAATCAGAATTTCAGCAGGTTTTGTAACATTTCTGCTGACATTCTGCTATTATTATTTGATATAACAGACTTTGTATACAATCTGGAATTTTTCTGCTGACAAAAATTTGTAGCAGACGTTTGGCAAAATCTGTTCGAACAGACTTGGCTATCTGGGTACAACATTAATAGGTCTCACCCACCATCTCCGATTTAGCCATCTTTTACTTCGTTTCTTTCTATTCGATTATTCGTGTTTATTTGGATTGACAACAATATGGATTAGAATGTAATGATTTTAGATATGGAATAATCCGCGAAAGCGATATTAAAACCGATTATAGTTTGTTCGGAATTAAAATCGATTACTTTTTAATCCGGGCGCGGATTGAACCGATTAAAACCGATTAAAACCGATTAAAACGGATTATGTTTTAATCGGTTTTAATCGACCATTTTCGGCAGGGTTTCTTTTTAATAACGCCAATAGGCACAATTGCAAAACGAACAAACTAAGAACATCATCATTTTCATTCATATTTATGGAAACAAATGCTCTGTATCTAGGTATATAATCAGACATCGCCTAAAAAAATATTTAAGAGAAACATAGTTTTTAAATTCTTACATATTCTTAATTACTTACATATTCATATCATATTATTTTATCCCTTTTTTACAGCTACATACGAATTGATAATACTCTTTAAATATTCGTTAAGTTTTTAGCGTCTACATTTATATTAATTGTGTTATTAATTACATTAATATCTTATTTATAAATCCAAATATGCAACTTACAAAGAAAATCGGTCAATTGTATCTGCTTCCCAAATATTTCACAACTTCTCACTTTTACAATATTTTGCCGAAGATTTCACACTTTAGGTTAAAAAGCGAACTACGCCGTCTTGAATATAAAGTTCTTATTATTATGTATCGTACATGCATACATGTGCGTTGCTGCATGTTATGCTATGTGCTAAGCATTATGCGTTATGTTTTATGGAAAAGTGTGTGCTCCCCGCTTTAAACCTATCACACACAAATTGGCATAGCTGCATATGCATAGCATAAGACCGTTTGGACCAATGAGCGTGCTATGTAAATCAATATGGCGATTTTATTTCGATGCTCATTGGTCCAGACGGTCTTATGCTATGCATATGCAGCTATGCCGATTTGTGTGTGATAAGGCTATCACACACACATTGGCATAGCTGCATATGCATAGCATGAGACCGTCTGGACCAATGAGCATCGAAATAAAATCGCCATATTGATTTACATAGCACGCTCATTGGTCCAAACGGTCTTATGCTATGCATATGCAGCTATGCCAATTTGTGTGTGATAGGCTTAAGGGCCCGAACACAGACTTTTGCATAAGCGCATAACCATAAGCATAAGGAAATTGATTGGTCCATTTATTCATCCTTATGCATATGCTTATGGACCAATCAATTTCCTTATGCTTATGGTTATGCGCTTATGCAAAAGTCTGTGCTCGGGCCCTAAAGCCTATAGCCTATCACACACAAATTAGCATAGCTGCATATGCATAGCATAAGACCGTCTGGACCAATGAGCATCGAAATAAAATTCTTAAGATGCGAAAATCTTAAGATGCCAATTCATGGGACGCTCGTTTTAGCGTTGCATGTGGTCACATGACTTCGACTCGACGCTAGCGTCAAGAAAAAAAGCTGGATTTCCTCAGCTTTAACGTCAAGCCGTGCTGTTGGCCATATGAATGAGATTTTTTTTTCCTGAATGAAAAAAAAATGCGTGGTGAAATCCATGATTGTATCGTTCTATGAATATTGGATTTACCCAATAACGTTTCCTACGATAATTTCTTCTTTCCTGTTTTTGCAATTCATCATTTATCAGAACTGTTGCTAAAAATTTCTTACATTGCCGATTTCGTTCTGATAATTTTTTCGTACACTCGCTTAACCATATGTAATATTTATTTCTGAATGACATGATTCACATACAATTACACATACAGTATTGACGCTATAAATTCGATGCTAAACCCTTTTAATGCGTTTTTTACAATGTAGCGTCAACTTTAATCACGTGACCTATTTTGACGCTAAAAATGAGCATCCAGCGTCAGCGTGAAAAGGCACCTTAAAGCCCGTATCAGACTACGCATTGAAGATTCAGATTGAAGACTCAAGATTAAAATTTGATCAATCAGAATAAAGAAATTTTAGTCCCTTTTGTTCTGATTAGTCAAATTCCAATCTTTAATCTTCAATCTTCAATTTTCAATGCGTAGTCTGATACGGGCTTTAAGATGACACACTTAAGCCTATGGCACAATGCTAGGCGATAGCGATAGCGGTAGGCAATATCCAATGAGAGCAGTGCTTTTTCGAAAAAGCAGTGCTCTAATTGGATATTGCCTATGCATTTTCGGAAAAGCAGGGCACTCATTGGATATCGCCCATCGCTCATTGCTTATCGCGTCCAGTGTGCTGGCCCTCGCACACTGGACGCGATGGGCGATGCGCGATGAGCGATGCGTGACGAGATTGTGAAAATTTATTTTCCTCAATTCACACTAAACGCGATTTGACGCGATTGAACGCAACGAGCGACGTAACGATCGGAAAATTGGCCGCATTGTGTTTATTAGTACAAAGTGTGTGTGTTTATTAATAAAAAGAGATCTGAAGTATTGCATTGATAGAGGATATACGTAAAATATAATTATGTACCGGTAAGAACTTTAAACTTACAAAATAAAGTAATTAACCTAAAAACAGTAACATATTTTATAAGAACCCAGACGTTATATAACCTCAAAGTGGGGTTAAAGGCGTTAAACTCTTACCAATCGATGTGAATAATTAAAAAAATATAACTTAAAAAAACATAAATGCCGCATATGTTATTGTATAAATATAGTACGCTATGGAATCAACTACTAGTAGAAAACGTTTTCTAATGCTGATGTCTCTATATGCGCAAAGAGAATAGTTTAGTATGGATTACGGTGGGAGACGTTTTATTTTATTAACTGATTGGTATATGAAACATTGGGAACAACAAGACGACTTTAATCAAATGGTACGTCAACCACGACGATGGTGGATTCGCCCGATAAATCAACGCCGGAATGACCAAGGAGATGGTGAACATCTATTATAATTTATGAGATGCGGCTTCTGGATGTGGAATCACATTTTAAGTATTTTGCCGTATGACGCTCGACGTTTTCGACGAATTACTTACAATTGTTGGACCAGTAATACAGAAACCCAGGTAGCAAAAGTAGTGTTTTTGATGTCATTTTGACCTAATTTGACGTCAAACTAACGTCAAAATGACTACTTTTGCTACCTGGGAAATGCAAACTAATTTTAGAGAACCTATTTGTCCTCGCACAAGACTGTATTTGACATTGAGGTAAGTTCTTTAAAGATATACACATGTTAATACTTATTAAGAACTGATCATGTAAGATGCATTAATTGGTTTTTTCAACTACTTGCAGATACTTAGCCACAGTAGATAAAATGTCGTCAATTGCTTTTGCGTTTCGCATAGGAAATAGCACCGCTTCAGCAATTATTGCAGATACGTGCGAATGCCTATGGAATGTGCTGCAAAATGAAATGTTTATACCATCAGAGGACAATTGGAAGGAAATCGCAAAGGAGTTTTATACGCGTTGGAATTTTTCACATTGTATAGGTGAGATAGATGGGAAGCATGTTGTTACAGGTAAATATTTTTTTATATTTATATAAAGGAGTATTAAATGATTAACCTGATCAAAATTTCTCCAAGAATTTCATAGAAATTTCTCATAAATTACTTGAATTTTTGAACATATTTTTGTGAGATACTTTTGAGAAATTCTATGAATGTTCTAAGCCCTTCTTAAGAATTTTTGATAACTTTAATTGTGAATTGTCTGATGACTGTATGAATAATTCTGAAAGTTATAAAATTAATAGAATTTCTTAGATGTATTGCAGAAAAACGTCCGAAAATATCAAGTAATTACAGATAAATGTCTGACAATCGTGGAAGAATTTTTACTAGCGTGATCATTTTTACTAACAGGTATTTCAATATGAACGCTTGAATTTTCAGGCATCACCAAAATCCGGATCAACGTTTTATTAACTATAAGGGGCGTCACAGCATAAATTTAATGGCAGTGGCTTGAGCATCATGCCGATTTTTCCTTATCGACATTGGAGCTGAAGGTCGTCATAGTGACGGTGGAGTTTTTAAAAATTCTCTAATGGGAAGGCTGTTTGATGACTGACAACAAAATTCATGTACCTGCATCTTCTCCAATTGTTGAGAACGAAGATCCAATACCGTATGTGTTGGTAGCAGATGAGGCTTTTCAACTGACTAATTATACAATGAGACCATATCCAGGCAAAACGCTGACTGATGATCAGAGAATTTATAATTACCGTTTAAGTCGAGCTCGGAGAGTCATTGAAAATGCTTTTGGCGTAATGGCGTAGTGGCACGATGGAGAATATTTAGTGGACCAATAAATACATCATTACAAACGACTGAAAAAAATTGTTAAAGCTTGTGTGGAAACTACATAATTTCTTAATGAATAAACCGCAATACTGCATGACAGGTTTCGCTGACTCCATACAGTCAGATGGGACAGTAAATCTTGGTGAATGGCGGCAAGAAATACAAAACTCCGAATTGCAGTCGATGAGAGGAATAGGGAGCAATACTCATGCTCGGAACGCAGCCATTGTAAGGGAAATCTTTAAAAACTACTTTCTAAGTACTGGATCTGTTCCATGGCAATGGGACTTAAATACATATAATTATTAAATTATTGTAATATTAATTTATTTTAATATTAAGTTATTTTATATTTTTTATATTAAACATTTTAAAATTAATAAAAACAACTCTAAAAAAAACCACAAAACTCTCCCTTTTTCTACTCTACTGGACAACTTAAATGGGAAACTTAAATTGTATCTTGAATGATTTATTTTACAGTTTTTATTATATTTGTTGTTTCTAAATACATATAAATATATCAATCATATAATATATAATAGTTATATAATAAATTAGCCATAAAGTCTTAGTTAATAATATTATTATATTAATTTTCGGATTGTTCTAATTCAATCTTTATTACTTCCTGCATTATAGTATGTGTAATGCGCATATAATATCTCTTTTCTAGTTTTTCTAATCTAGATTGTAAAAAAGAACAGAAGGTCTGTTCTTCACTACGCGGTTGAATAATTTGAGACAATAAATTCTCAAATTTGTCTTCTTCATGCATTCGTTTAGCATCTTGTGCTGCTCGTTCTATTGATATGCTTCGGCTACGTTTCTTTCTGGTATCTGATACAGTAGATAGAGCCGGACTTGATAGACCAGATGGAGTGCTACTTGACGAAGCTCTCTCCGATATACATGTCAATGGAGAATTTGAAACATTGACGATGATGCACTGGTTTGTGGCTTTGGTGACGAGGAGTACGAAGTCGGCGGAGATAATAAAATAGACTTTACAATTTTTGGTTCTGTAAGCAGAAAAAAATAATAATTAAATTTTGATTATAAATAAAAAAAGGATTTCATAATTGTTTGAAGTACTGGATTTACTATTTGACTAATTATAAATAGTTTCAACTATTTCAAAATATTATTAATGTAGTCTTGATCATGCAAAACACATTTTAAATAATAAATATCTCAATTTATTACTAATTCAGTTAAAAGAAATATTACATTTAATTAAGTATTAATCAAAACTTGTAAAAAAATTATTTTATGAGTGAAATACAATAATATATACATATATAATGGCCATAAGCTGCAGAATTTGTTCGGTTTTTGCTGACAATCTGCTGTCAGATTGTCTTGCGCAGATCTTGCTCGATTTTTGCCACCAATTTGACGTCAAATCATGTCAAGCTTTGCTCGTTTTTTGCCGTCAATTTGCTGTCAGGTTATGTTAGCAAGCTTTGTCACCAAAACACAAGCTTAATGCGGACACAGATGACACTGGATTTGTTACCAAGTTTTGAGCGAATTTGATGCCAATTTGGCAACAATTTGTTATCAAATTGCTTACTGGGTATGTATGCATACTTTGGATTACTGCCGTCTTAAAAGGCTGCGACTGCGAAAGAAGTAGAGTGTCCGTGGAAGTCGTGATCGGCATAAATCTCAAGGATGTTTCATGACTCGGGCATGAATTTTCGTTCCTTGAGAATCCACCTAGGTTGCTATGTGTTCTGCATCACATAAAAGTAAAAATTTATTAAAATTGTTCACAGAAACAATAGATTCGTAAGCAATAAGTTCATGGTAAACAATTATAAATAATTGCGATACGTACTTTCGGAAATCCAATGTCGGTATAAAAAATTCCATAAGATGATAGAATTTCCAGTCATCTGACTTCTTTCCAGCTCCACTTCCACTGGGAACGTACGCTTTCATCTCCTGCTGCTTCCGACGGAATGTATCCCGAAGATTTTTCCACTTCTTCTGCAGCACTTTCGATTCCTGATCTGTGTCAAAAACAATAAATATTGCATAAAAAAACAATAAATATTGCATAAAATAAATCTTAATTTTGTATTCCGTAAATTTTCAGCACAAGCTTTATTTACAAATGGAAAGTGTATCTACCAAGAATTGAAGCTATTTCTTCCCATGCTTGTTTTGTAGCTTCGAGTCCTCAGAATTGCAAATCTAATCTCTGATCCCAAAGACAAAGTCTCTCGCGAATCTCCATTATCAATATTTCTTCCAAAATCTCTGAATTTTGGCAAATCGCTTCAGTTTTCTTTGAAAATAAAATTAACCATTAATTAATGCACAAATTAATGTATACATATAACTTAACTTGTCACAAATTAAATACAAAAAAGAACATCTATAATAATAAAAAGTATACGCATAATTGTAATAATAAAAATAATACTAACTTAATGAACAAAAACTTACTGTCATATTTTTTATATCTATATACTTGAAATCGATCGATAGCGTAGAAAAAAAGTATCTTAGCGACCCGACAAGGACAAACACTTGACACAGATACTATCACATAACGAATTGACTATGAATTTACAATGTATATTTGATAAAAAAACGTTTTGCGAGCAACGAACTATTTTGCGATATATGATTAGAGTTTTACTGTCGAAAGCTAACGAGCAAAAGGCGTCGCAACGGCTGCGCGCCACTCTTTTATCGAATCGATAATCTAAAATCTTCTCGAAGATTCAGAGAAAGAAAGACATTATTTCTGCCGTCCTTTTTCTCGATTAAATTATAACAATAATTTTGCGTAAGTCGTTGATTTGAAGATAATTGTTGTTTACAGGTGGTTGGCAGCTCCTTGGCTTTAACGTCTCTTCCTTTTTTTTCAAGCGTGGCGCCCAATCAAACGATTATATTGGCTGCGTTCAGCAGAAAAAGCAGCTTTGCAACTGTTGTAAAATTCTTTAATACGATTGGTTTATACATTTAGATCCGGCAGGAACTAAGGGCAAAAACCAATCATATTAAAGAATTTTACAACAGTTGCAAAGCTGCTTTTTCTGCTGAACGCAGCCATTGATCGATGCGGAGCGCAGCGCTTTTTCGCCGAGCTCGGTATTACGAAATCATGTCTTTTCTCTGTGTAGTCTATGGTTATCGCCAGCTTTCGCGCATCGCGAGCGACGAAAGTAGAAGCTTGACCAACCTTTTGAGCGATGTCGCGTCGAGCCTCGCGACGGATGTGACGTTTGGAAAAGTAGAGCTCTCATTGGATATCGCCCATCGCGTCCAGTGTGCGAGGGCCATAAGACGATCTTGGATATAAGAACGGACTACGGCCGGTATTCATAGTCAGTTCTTATTTCAAGACCGTCTTAAGTAATGTCTTAAGATGCTAATACGGCTCTGTGATTGGTTTAGGACATCTTAAGATTGTGCTTAAGACGGTCTTAAATATAAGAACTGACTATGAATACCGGCCTTAGAGAGAATTCACACCTTGGCAGAAAAGCAGAAAGCAGAAAAGCAGAAGCCAGTCAGAACTCGTGCTAGAAAAGCAGAAGCCAATCAGAACTCACGCTGATAGTAAGCAGTACATTCTGCTTTCTTAATGCGAGTTCTGATTGACCTCTGCTTTTCTGGTTTCTGCTTTTCTGCCAAGGTGTGAACTCTCCCTTAGACTGATTGATCAATCAGGACAAAAAGAGTAAAGATTTCTCTATTGTGATTGGTTACTGCAATACTTTGAAGCATTTCTAGCGTCTTCTCGACCGCAGCCTAAGAGCGATTAATGACGTCATTGCATCGTCTCTGCCAATAAAAGACTTGAATTCATAGTAAAATATAGTGATTAATTCCATACAGCACCGAAAGATTGCAGAAACGTTGCATAGATCTTACATTGAAATATTGTAACATTGCATGGAAGTTGCGAAATGTTTCTGCAATATTATTGCAAGCTTGCGGCAACATTGAAATGTCCGCCCTTAGATATATTACAATGTAAGACTACAGTAATGTTACGATGCAATGTATTTGTAATATTGAAATGCATTGCTACAAATATGCAGAACGCTTCAAATTTAATAGATACACTTTGAGAATATATAAAGACATCCAAGAGAGATAAGAAAAAAAGATTGTGAATTTACGCAATTACGAGTTCTTTCTCGTCTCTCTTGGATGTCTTTATATATTCTCAAACTTTATCTATTAAATTTGAATCATTTTACATATTAAAAAATTATTATCAAATTTTTGATTTTATATAGAAATGAAAACTATTAAACAATTTTCTGTTATCTAATTAACATTGCTATTTTATAGATAATTTACAAGTTTAAGAAATTGAAAACGATTAAATAATTTTATTCATAAAAGTTAAAATTTTATTTATATAAATATTAGACTCTATTTTACATCTTAACCCATACAGCACAGAACATTGCAGCAACATTTGCAACATTGCCACAATGTTGCTGCAATGTTGTTACAACATTCTGTGCTGTATGGGAAGTAAACAATAAACGAATAATTTTAATTTTTTCGGACACTTATTTGTCCGATTTCTGAGCAATCAGTTCAATATCTGAATTCCCTATGTTGGGATCGTATCAGACAATTTAAACTGATAAGAACAGTTGTTATACCTTTAATCTTACTAACC